CTCTCACACTCACTGAAACCATTTCAACAGTACGAATTCAAGGGGAACTATCTCCTTCTTTTGAAATTCATAATGGAGTTAGACAGGGAGATGCATTAGCGTGTCTTCTGTTCAACATAGCCTTAGAAAAAGTTATTAGAGATGCTAGTATAAATACTACAGGTACTATATTTAATAAATCAGTGCAGATTTTGGCATACGCCGATGATGTAGATATCATCGCAAGATCTAGGACAGCATTGAGTGAACATTTTTTGGCACTGGAAAAATCAGCTAGAAAAATTAACTTAAGAGTGAATGTGGAGAAAACAAAATATATGTATTGTGGTACAATGGAAACCATCCCTAAATTGTTTAAAATAGATTCTTTTAAATTTGAATCTGTAAAAAATTTTACTTATCTAGGATCAGAAATAAACTATCAAAATGACATCAATCCTGAAATCAAAAAAGGAATAATCGCAGCCAATCGCTGCTTCTATGGTTTAAAATCATTATTGAAATCTCACTTAATAAAAAGGAAGACTAAGATCTTACTTTATAAGGTATTAATCAAGTCAGTTTTGACTTATGCTTCAGAGACATGGACTTTAACAAAAAGGGAAGAGAAGTTGTTAGCAACCTTCGAAAGGAAGGTCCTACGAACCATCTTTGGCCCTATACTCGATAACGACAACTGGAGGAAAACATATAATTTTGAAATACATAGAATCATTGATGGCGATGATATCATTAAATCTATTAAATTAAGTAGAATGAGATGGGCCGGGCATGTAGTGAGAATGAGCCCAGAACGAACAGCATTGAGAGTTTCTAATGCAACCCCCTCCAATAAAAGGCCAAGAGGAAGGCCCAATAAGAGATGGAAGGACTGTGTGGATGAGGATTTTGCCATCCTAAAAGTAAAGAACTGGAAAACGATTGCTGGGAGAAGGGCAGAATGGGAAAAGCGTCTGAGGAAGGCCCAGGCTCACAAAGGGCTGTCGTGCCAATGCTGATGAATTCTGATATTTTACTTTAAATATTCATTTAAAAGTTACGATACATCAGATTTTTTTATCCGAAAAATTTTACGATAAAAGTTCCAGCACTCTTTTTGCCGGTACCTTTTACCGTGCATTTTACAGTATTGCACTTTTTACAATGCAAGCAAACTTTTCTTTTTTATAGTTAAAAAAAAAGAAGAAAAACTTCAATCACTTTCCCAAGGTTGCATGATTTATAAATCAATAATAATTTGTTTGTTTTTACTTCATAATTGAGTTTAATTTTTTTTAACTGCAAGAAAAGATATATAAATTCAATATCTATCGTACAAGGCTTAGCAAATACCATTATACTTAGCTTGACCATTCGAAATAAAAAAAATATTTTGCGCATGAAAGCCATTGGTAATGAAATTTAATAAAAACGAATTTTAATAAAAACGAAATCTAGGGAAATAAATATGTCTGAGATTTGACAGTTTTTAAATTGAAAATTTGAAAGAAACATCCAAATGAAAATACTCAGAATGTCAAGAAAATACAAAATCACATCAGAATTATAATATCTGAACCAGTGCAGTATTTTTTTTTATATTTACATTTTATAAGAAAAGAAAACAATGAGGTAAAGTTTAATATCGCAGTAGATTTCTTTTTGGTAAGAAGGAAATTGAAATTCATATTGCACTCATATGTTGATAGCACGATATTTATTTTACCTTATTGCATTTTTGTAATGCTACCGTGAAATTAAATAATCATATCAAATTCCTTTTTCAAGATTTCCGTATCGTCCACCTATACAAATAGAACGAAGTAATCTTTTTTAAACGTGTATTCTATCTTTCTTTAGTATTCTATTTTTATCCATATCCAAATGAAAGGGGAATAATCGAAAATATAAAGAATTTATATTGTTCTATGAGTATCAGCAATGTTAAGATGCATATATAAATTTCTTTTCTTTTTGAGTGGGAAGATTTTTTTTGGTAAATTAATTTAATTTCACTGTAATATTTAATTTTAACATAAAATTGTATATAGTGTTTTTCGAAATTCATATTTTATGTCAAATTCATGTTGCGTTTAAAGCAATTAAACAATTTGAGGTTTCTTAATGTAGATATAAGAAATTCAGTCGGGCGAGATAGCTCATTGCAGACCAAAGCTTACCATGCCCATTCTTGTTTTCTTGATTTTCAGATTTGGGGTGCAGGAGCAGTTACTCCAGTTAGATGGTCATCCGAACATGGAACTCATAGAATTTATTCTCCAAGCAGTCTAGGTGCAAAGAGTAAACACGTTTAAATATAAAATTATTGTACTCAAAAACTTACAAGTTTGTATTTATTTTAAACTCTAACAACGCTAATTGAACCTAAAGAAAGTAATTATCTAGGCTTATTTTTATTAACGAAAAAAATTGTCTATGTTAATGACTTTCGACATAAGTTTTACTTGTCTATGTTATATCAATTTTGTTTCCAAAATTTTCATTTTTTTTAAGATTAAACTAAAACAATTAAATCTATTTCAAATGTACTTATAATAATTTTTAGTATAAAATAATTAAAAGATTTGATAGAGTTTCAATACACCAATGAATTTTGTTGAAAACTTGTTCTGATTTAAAAGTTTATTTTTCTAAAACTTGAGACTGAATATATTTTCAAAAACACTTGTTGTTTTATTTTAAGAAAAGAAAAATTTTATCATCTGCTTTAAAACTTCTTTCGAATTACAATTCTGACTGAAGTTCATGTTCAAAATTTCGGCATATTTTACTTAAATATAAATGAAACAATTTCAACTTTTATCCAATTAAAAACGCACAGTTGAAATAATCAAAAATAAAAAAGTTCTTCAATTTTGTTTCTTGAAGCTAAATCAATAATGAGAAAGAAAATCATCTTACTGGAAATTTTAACCACAATTTAAAATATGTTTTTGTCGCACCATGACAAAATTATTATTACTATTAATTACATGATCATTATCTTAGGTTTCTCATTAGTATTTCATAAATTTTATTTCATTTTATCTATGATAATAATAATTCATGTTTCTTTTGTACTTTTTTAATTATAATTCATGCTTAAAAATAATTACACTGTTAAAAGTTCCAGATTAAAATTACGGTAAGAAATACTGGAACTGTGAGTGCAGCATCCGTAAAATAAGTTTTTACCATAAAATTTTAAACAGTAAGTCTTGTAGCAGTATTTATTTAACCACAGTGATTCATTAATTTTACAATTACTGTAAAAAAGCAGTGTATCGCAAAATTTTAAAATAAAATAGTAAAATAATAATAAAAGTAATAATAAAAATAATGATAATGATAAAAATAATGATAATAATAAAAATAATGATAATGATAAAAATAATGATAATGATAAAAAATGATAATGATAAAAATAATGATAATGATAAAAAATGATAATGATGAAAAATGATAATGATGAAAAATGATAATGATAAAAGTAATGAAAATGATGAAAATAATGATAATGATAAAAATAATGATAATAATAAAAATAATGATATAAAAAATATAAAATTTCATGGTAAAAATCAATTTTACAATAAAAGTATAGGCACTTAGGGTGCCAGTACTTTTTATTGTACTTTGTCTGCTATTGCTTACAGTGTCGAAAGAATTCATAAACATTTTTCCTTTTTAAGGAACAACTTATAGTTGTTCCATAATAAGTTTCCAATGATTCAGAGATAAGTTAGATATTCTGTTAATTTAAATCAAGTGATATTATGGTTTTGTCTTAAAAAGTAATTGCTTTATTTAGACAGAAACTACTAATATTGTGATTTTCTGCTTGATAATTGAAATAAATCAAAAATATAATTATATTTAAATTGATATCAGCATGTTATGTTAAAAATAACTATTTTCAATTTTTTCTGAAAGTATATAATCATTTTGAAATGTTTTTCTTTTTAAATTATGACTTTCTATTTAAATAAGTGAATATTCCTTTTATGATTTCAAAGCCTATGAATTTAACAACTATTTGGCTCGGGTTTGTGATGCCACAATAGGCATTACCTATTTCCTAGCTTTTAAAATTTCTTTAATCTGTTAAACTTATCTTTTTAACCATTCTTAATCAAATTTTGATTAAATTAAATTATTATTTAATTTTTATCACAGTTTATAAAATGCGAATATAAAATATTTTATCATTTTCTTAACAGTCAATGTAATGGCTAACTTTTTATTTCAATACTGATGTGAGGCTCACTAATTCACTGTCACTACAATATCGGAAAAAAATATCTTTTCAAAACTCTTTATTCTTTATTTCTTATCAGAAAAACGTTTAAATTACACGGTAATACTAATTCTCACTGTCTTTTTGGCGATTTACTTTCACCAAATTATTTTCAAATTTATTATTATGGGGGTTGGCTTTGTTTTTAGCTAAGTTATCTTTTGATAAATCGCCAACCATGGTTCTCTTCCCATGCTCTTAACTGTCCGTTGGGAACAAATCATTCACTTTTAATTTAGAATTATAAGCTTGAAGATTAGGGAAGGGGGCCCTTTTGGGTCTCCTTGTCCCAACCGTTGAATATGAATTTTAACAGAAATTCCCGATATAAAAAGAATAATTTTTTGATCTCTTTAAGGGACTTCTTTTCAGTGTTTTTATATTTTTGAATGTGGCCCTATTCAGTTTAAAAATTTACTCAATAAATAAATTTTTCCTAAGCGAATTTTATTTATTTATTAGAGATAATTATCCATTCATGATTTCTAAATTGAAGTGTGTCTCTCAAGGGCAAAAATATGCTTAGGTTGCTACCTTAACCTGCCACTATAATTAGACTGATGATCACCGCTCAACAGCGGGTAAACACCAAGATGATATTAAAGGTATCTAAAAAATATCAGTGCTTAAAAATATTTTTTATATTCTTACTTTCCTTTTGCTTCCGCAATTTTCAAGCCGGATGTTTTAATCTTAAGTGATCTCTTCTATACTTCCGTCTTTTTGTTATTATCTTATTCAAGAAAATATCTGAGTAGTATAAAAAAGTAAGCAGAAATGATTTTACAATAGTGTACTTGTAGTCAATAGCATTGGCTTTTCAAAAAATGTTCAAGCAAATAATGAGTATCTTATTGTTCCAAACTCTCTTCAGTAAGTTCATTTTGCAATCTATTTTGAACAATTATTATTTTTTTAAAACGTGTTTCGAATAAAAGATAGTGCTATTGTTAATGACTTTTTTCTTCTTAAAGTTGAATTTGATAACGTTTAATGTCATTTTAGAGAAATCGATATAGTGCTGAATTTTTTATTTTTTGATATTTTTCAATCTCAAGCAACGTTGATAATTTAGTTGCTCCAGCCCTTTTGCGATATTGTTATGATGAGAATTTACTTGAATTTTGCATTTAAATATTGCATTTGTCAGGGAAAAACGAAAAATAAAATGATTCAAACGTAAAACTGTCGATAAGATCTTTATTTGAAAATTTATTTGTAAAAATCTATAATATTTGAGTTACATTTAAAATAATAAATTAATTATTATGGTCCTATTTTTTTTAAAAAAAAGTTCATAATAAAGGTAGGTTAAAGAATATATTCCTGATGTAATATGATGTATAGTAATTTATTTAAAACAAGATTTTGTTTTCATCAATACCATTGAAATGTTCAAATTGAAACTTATAATAATCACATCTAAAACATTGTTTTTATCTTTACCCTCAAATTATTCAAAATTAAACGTTTAATAAATGCAATTGAAACGTCATTTTATTTTTATCAATGCATTTAATTTATTCAAATTCGAACGTTTAATAAGTACAGTCATAATGAGAAATTGAAAAAAAAAAATTCAAAATGAATAATTCATTATAATATACGAAAAAAGTGATGCAATGATATACAAATAATACAATATAAATGTATAAAAATTCAAAATACAGTTTTATATGTTTTAGTTTGTTTAAATCATTCAACAGCCAGCAATAGCACTTTATCCATTAGTTTAAATAATCAATATTATCGATTATAAGCACAGGCAATAAAAAAAGCTGGTGTTTCTTTTTGCAAAATTTAACTACTTTTGCTTCTAGTTTTTTTAATTATTTTTATTTTAGATTTAACGGTCGCAACAACTGATGACATGTGTTCAGGACAACCGATGTTGTTTTGCCAAGATCATTTATCAGAAGCGAATTTGACTTTACTTGGAGAGTTTCCAAGTCTAGAAGCGTTAAGGATATTGTGTTTGTAAATGTTTTTTGGTTAATAGTCTTCTTCAACATGAATAATACTTTTAAATATTACTTATTAAAAGTTTCATTAGAGGATAAAGTAGAAATTTTAATTTCTATTTCAGTCTAAGAAATTTATAGATATATTTTTTAATATTTTATATATATTTTTTGATATTTATATTATACATTTATTTTGATATTTTAATTTATATTGATTTTAATTTATATTTTATATTCCTATTTATATTTTATATTATCATGTTTTATTTATTTATATTTTTATTAACACAATTGAATAAGTTCAGTAGTCATTTCATATGGTATTTGATATTTATTGTATAAAAATGATACTAGATGTACAAAATGATATTTCTACTAGCGTGTTGAATTATTAATTGAGCCACGAGATTTTTCTGCAACAATTAGTGCATGTGCAGGATTTAAAGAGCGTTTGCTCATTTTTATTATTTTTTATTGTGCAACTTTATCTAAAACTCTCAAAATAAAACAAATACTTCTTTGAATCTCATGTATGTGAAATATTGAGGATAAATTAAATAACGAGGAAACTTTTTTCAGACTCAAATCAATTATATTACCTAATATAAGACGAAACTCGTAGCAGAAACATAAACACAAAGTGATAAACTGAAATTCACAAAATTATTATTAATAATCCATAACATCGAAATAACTTTTTAATAATTCTAAAAAAAGTTTTTTTTTTATTATTTATATAATTGAAGCATACATCCTTATATTAATCGAATTTTTTTTGTCAAACAAAAAAATGAGTTAACATAAATGTAAACAGATATTTTATTTATCCTGTTTCTTTATTTCAATATTTTTAAAAGCTTACGTAATTTAGGTATAAGTATTTGAATTTAGATTTGAAGATTATTTCGATAACACGTTAAAATGGATTTTAAAAAAATCATTTAGCATGAAATTTAAAATTAAAATTGTAAGAAATATTTTTTAAAAAAATATTAAAAAAACTAAAACAGCACTCATTTTTTTGAAAAATTCAAGTTCAATATTTATATTTCACTTCAAAATAATGCAAAAGTAATAAAATCCGTGTTTAAGCATTAAAAAATTTTTTTTTTTAAATATAATTCTTAATTAAAATTTTTTAAATCTTACTAATTTAACTTGAACTTGTTTTCAGGAAATAAAAAAAACTATGTAATAATAGTAGTAACTGGCCCAAAATGGAAAAGTGTCGGTCATTTTATATTTTTCGTAACTTTCAATAATTATGAGAATTGTTTTTGAATTTATGAAAGCAAAGCTTAAAATTTAGCGGTAGTTATCTTGAGATTAATTTTTTGTGAACGGAATGTCCCATCTTAGCACAGGTACATAATTCCTTCCAGTCGTGTAGTTGTCATAATCAGAAACTAAAAATGCAGCATAAAGAAAAGAAAATTAAATGCCGGAGGCAAGCTTTCAACTAAATTGTATTTGTTTGAGAAGTTGCAGACATTTAATCAAGAACACAGGTTGTTTATGGAATAGATTAAAGCAAAGAACAGTATCATACCTTAGCCACCATTGAACGTAGAGTGAGACGCAAAATTCTAAACAGTACATTTTTCTTATTTTTAATTCCGAAACAACTTTCACGATTTCGCAGAGAACAAATAAAAGGCGCGAACTAAAAAAGAAACAGTTAAGATTATTATCTGTTTGAAATGAATGAGATATACAAAGTTTTGCTCTCCCCAAAAAAGTGTCTGTTATTTAGCGTAAAGGATTTAACAGCTGAGAAATTTCTTATATATATATATATATATTTGATTGTACTGTACCACTACAATTATAATTGTACTAAGTCCTGACTCTCATGAATAAGTATTGTTCAAGCAAAACTTTTTTAAATCGTGTAATTTGTACGAACTGAACAAAAATTCTTGAACTGTTGCAGTCAAAAAAGATGAGCCTTTAGTACTGTATTTATATTACACGCAAAGTACTTTTTAACCGAATTGTATACAGAACTTTTTATCAAGAATTTAAATTTTTTCTTGACCAAGAAATCTACTAATTCAGATTATCATCTGAATTAGTAGATACATTATATACATCTAAATACAAAATATGATAGTTTATAGTTTCTCAATAAAAGTAGCATAAAATTTTTGTTTGTGTTTTATACATTTAAAAACATAATTATTTTTTGGTTCATTTCTGCTTTGCATCTATTAAATCGTTCGGAAAAGGAAAATATATTTTACTAAAAATGTGCGTCAAAACGCTTGATATAAGCTATCCAAATTTGCAAAAATTCTAAAAATAATGGAATTTTAAAATAAATTTCGTTAAGAGTTTGTTCAATGAAGTTTTTGTTAATGTTCAATGAAGTTTTTCAGCTTAATTTGTGTTCAAATAACATTACTGAAATATTATTGTAATTACGAAATTTTATTAATAATATAAATATTATTCATTACATAATATTATTAACATAATAAAATAATGCATTTCATAAAAATTCGATTTCGTGCTTAAATTCAATTTTCAAATTATTTTAAATGTGTTTTCTACTGAAGGAAAAACTTTAGAATTCATTTCATATATTTTTTTTTTCACAACAAGCTTGTAAATAACATTAGCAATCTAAAAAGTGATTTTATATTTAATGAGTTAATGTACTTCAATAAAAGGTGCATTTGAATGAATTAAAATACCGTTTATTGTAAGCATATACAACCTTTGCTGAAACCTAACAAAGCTGATGAATTCCATCATTCTACCATAAAGTTTAACAAAAGTTCTGTAATACTCTTAGAAAGAAAGTAAAGTATATAAAATCGAATGAAAGCAATTAGCTGTGACGTTTACACAGCACATTTTATAAAGTTTCATTTTGCCCAACGAATTGCTATGTCTTATGACAACAAAAAAAGCATAACTTTAGTTGAGGCAGTAATTTTTACTAAATAACACTCTACGATAAGTATTTTAATGTCTCTGATTTGTGAAAAAAGAAAAAACGCCGCCTATTTAAGTGCTCTAGAATTAAAATAGAAAATTTATATATTCCTCTGTGATCATACATACAAAGAATTATTTTTTTCCTGACAAAACGATTCCATAAACTGCAAATATTTGAAAATCGTTTACTAGTTTTCAGTAATAAACCCTGATGTAGTTACGTTTTCAAAATGATAACGTATTGGCATAGTGAACAAGTATATAATTTATATATCAGTACAAGTATATAGTTATTTATGCAGTATTATAGTTAATTAATTTTTTCAAACTTTTTTTATAAAATGATCATAAAAACGGCATATTTTTATTTAACTTTCTTTCTAGTAACTCCAATAAACTTTTCCAAGTAAATAGTTTTAGTTATGTCATGCAATATCAAATAAAGTTTTTAATTGAGAAAAATTTGAAAGTTTTAAAATGTTTCAGTTTTTAAACAATATTAATCCAAGGTTTTTCTGCATTTTAACCTATCAAACATTTTGCTGTGTAAATGTGTTCTACTTTTAAAAGTATAGGAAACTTTACAGTTAAATTCTTTTTGAAATATTTTTAAAACATCTTACATTTTTATAAAAATTACAAATTATTGTACGTGTTTTAAAGTGCATTGCGTGTTTACTAGATTTTTACTTCATTGAAGATATTATGATGAACAAGAAATGAATATTTATATTTGTGGCTATTTTTATACTCCTTTTTAATTTAATAATTTTGCCGCTGAAGTTCTGCAGCTGCATTTTTTAAGAACGCATTTCTGAACTTTTATTTATTTCTTAAGTAAATACGATGATATTATAACTAAATTTCTTCATATGTCAAGTGCGAAATAAAGTAGCTAATACGAAGTAGTAAAAACTTAATTATAAAAACACGAAAGTTTAGAAAAAAATATATAAAAAAATAATTTAACTTTATAAAATAGTTTTATTTAATAAAACATTTATTATAAACTGATATAAATGGTACTTGATTTTCAGCGTAAACTAAATTTAAAAAAAAGAAGAAAGATTTGGGCATAGATTTGTAAATAATCTCATAGAGAAATATTTATTGATATCAGAATTCTGTTTACACAAAATAACGCGATGATACGATCACATTGCAAGCAAAAAATATAATGTATGTGAGATAGTGTATGCGAGATTTGTTTACGGTAAGTTCCTAGAGCGAGATTATTTCCACGTGAAAATTTATCCATGCAACATTATATTCTGCAGAATACAAAGGGCTTAAGATTATTGACATGGAAATAATAAGCACGATTTTTGTAGACTATTTCTCTGTTGGATTCGTCGTAAAACTAGTAGAAAGGCTGGCAGTCAGCCTGAATGGACAACATATAGATACCTTCTACTTTTCAGCCATTTTATATTAGATTTTAATACATTGTTTGTATTTTCTCTTAGGCCTCTGAACAATTACCTAAATTGTCTACAAAATTTTGAAGAAAACTGTGGTTGGATTGACGCAATGCCATTTTCTTCTACCAAAGAACTTTTTGATGTTAAAAATTTGACCTCTGAAATTTGTGAGAATAAATCCGTATTGCACAAAGGTAATATTGCGCAGATTTTATAAATTAAATATATTTCCATAAATATATATTTAATTTATTAAATGTAATATTATAAAGTTCTACGTCAGTAAGTCGGAAATAATAAAGCTTTTACTATTTAATCTCACACGGAGAAAAAAAGTTCGGGCAAAATTACCATACTGTGTAGTAATGATATTTCTAGTAAAAAATACATAATTACTACGAACATAGTTATTAGAACCAAAATATATGGTATTTGAACAATTAATTTAGCAATATTTCCGTTTACATGGTAACAGTTTAATAGAAATTCTGATTTTCAAAATTATGACTGCGCAATTATAGCTGCAGCTGTGGTAATATTCAAAATATTACCGCAGAATTTTGTAAAATTTACAAAGCTAAAAAGTAAATTTAACCGAATAAATAGCTTTTGTACCATGCTCTAAGATATCATGATAAAATTACTGAATTTGCCAAGGTCTACCACATTTTATTACGTGTTATCACATGTACTAAAACGCTATTTTGTTGTTAAACGTGCAGTTGAAAAATGTTTTTAGAAATAGTATATGAAGTTGTATAGCGAAAAAAAAAATTATATTCTACTATTATTATGAGCGCATTCAATGTTTAAGAGACTTTCTTCTTTTATGAATATTTACTTTGCATATTTTTTTTATAAATTTAGATAGCGTTCTTATTTTGATATACAAAAAACGTGTGAAATAAAATCGTGGAAAAAAAAATCTTTTAAAATTACTTTGATGTATGATTGTGATATTTCTGGTTATATATATATATATATATATATATATAACCAGAAATATCACAATCATACATCAAAGTAATTTTAANAATTCTGGTAGAGATGTTACGCATCTTAAATATTTTGGTAAAAAATTTTTCTTAGTAAATATGATCTTTTCAAAGTGGAATTTAATTACTTTTTTACTTTATAATTATCTTCTGTAGGTTAGGAAACAAATTTCCAAATAATTCTTATACATTATTTTAATTACTTGTTTTTAAAAGAAATTTTTTTCTTATATAACTCTAGCTTGTTATTAAATATTTTAACTGTAATCATTCCTCATTATGTGAGATTAATACATTTGTCGCTGTTTTTAGATTATGAATCAAATGCTGAGTGCTTGACTCAACAGAATAATTACATTTCTGACTGTGAAGGATATGCTATGCAAGCAATATACAGGTATGAAAATACTCGTCAACTTCGGATTCGAGAAAGAGATGATCCGCATTCAGATGTGAATCTTCTTTGCCTGTAAGTTTGACTTAAATTTGTTTGAAAACATTTATTTGACAGGACACCCTGTTAAAGTTTTCGAAAAAGTCGATTTTTTTACGTAATGCTAACGGTACTAAAAATTACTCATAGATATGAAAAACTTCAATATGAAAATCGTACATATGCATCGTATCTTTCAGAAATGGAGATACAAAAGAAATACGAAAAACAATTTTCCTCAGAACAGTGATATACATATATAAGGGCTTATTTTCATCAATTTTTCTTGAAATTTTACACAATTTGTAATTTGATTGTGATATCTGTTGCATATAAGAATTTACACAAAATTTTATTTAAGGAATAACCATTTTAAAAAAACTGTAATATTATTTTGGAAACAATTATTCGTAAATTCCATTTTACCGTAAAGTTTTATACCATAATTTTCACAGTAATATTTTTTTAGTTTAATGGTTCTGTTTTTTCAGTATAAAATTACCCTTTATCAGATAATTTACTCCGTAAAATGTTATGATAAAAATGGAATTTAGGTTAAAAAGTATTGGCACCCTGGTTGCCATAAATTTTACGCGATTCCTTGGTTCAGAATTTTTCACAGTGTAAATTTAAAAAAATATATAATTTCAACATGCTAACATTTTTTATTGAGTTTTGCCTCGAATCAAAGCTAAATTCTAAGCAATGCCAAAGTTACATCTGGGCATTGTAAAAATTTGCAATCAAAGTGCGTAGAATAACCACGAGAGAGCTTCTGTTGTCATAGGAAATTACTCCCCAGACCATAACTCCAGGTTTAGGTCCATTGTGTCTAGGCTGGAGACAGGTCAGTAGCAGGCGCTCACCTGGCAATATACTGCTGTCACTGACACCAAGGCAGAACCGACTTTCATCTGGAAATAGGAATCCACTCTGTCCTCCACTCGACACCATTCACGTCGTAAACGGCAGTCGTTTGGTGTGAGTGAAATACAAACTACAGGGCGCCTCGTTCAGAGCTGCATTTGAAGTAGCCAATTTTTAACAGTCCGTTGCATAACTGTCGTACCAACTACAGCTTGAATTTCTGCCGCGTGCCAGCCCAGAATCCAGTCTTCTTGAAACAATACCTTTCCTTGACCACTACTGCCAACAGTCTTGCAGAATGATATTTTTCTCCTTTCAGAAATATCGCGGAAAGAAAATCTACCTTCTAGCAGGCCTGTTACACGATCATGTTCAAAGGTATTCTTGACTAACAGCAACTCACTCTGTCAAAATTGAACGAAAAATAATGCTTGCGAATTGTAGAACACGTAATCCTGGTTGCATGTTTACAGTCGCGCTACTAGCTCTAAACTTATGAGCCAAGTGCAAAATTTAAATAGAAATCATCTTTTAGCTGTATAATCAGGCCTAAGAAATTTAATTTATTTGGCACAGTTTCTTCTTGGTGTTGGGTTTTCTTTCCGTCAGTGTATTTCTAAATAATTAGTGCAGACGACAATTTAAGTCGCTAAATCAGAAACAAAAACTTACTTTCTCAGAAGAAACAAATCTTTTCTTCGAAAGATTCAAATTTCTGACTCCCAAAATATACGGGGTAGCCGCAATCTATGAAATATTGTCCCAGAAATATAGTTTGGTCAAAAGAGTGGTCTAAAGTCTCTTAATGCTAATTTTAGTTTGAATCCCCTTGAACCATAAAGATTGAGTCCTAGAGTATGAAGAAACGAACATTACATCAAAAGGTATTCAGGGAGGTCCATTTTTTTAACGCAAGGTACGCAAAGGAAAGAGCTACATTCGATATTGAATTATTATTATTATTATTTTAAGTTTACATAAAAGTTGGAAAAAAAACTTTTATTTTCTGAAGCTATTTTAAGAACAAATTAATCTTATAACCAGTTCTAAATAATATACATGCTTTGAAATTGAGATATTTTTGCATCATTTTAAGAATTCCTGAAATATGATATTTCTGAATTTTCATTTAAACAGAAAAATGTATATAGAGTACGTATAAACGCTTAAACTCGTCACAATTTTATGAGCGAGCAAAATGTTGAAAACAGAAAACTTTTTATGAATATTATCATACTTTTTTAGTGCAGATAAATGTTGCTTATTTGAAAAATTTAAATGAACAATAATTAATTTTGTTTTACATTTTTAGGCGAAAATTCTGCAAATTTGGATGCATGATTGTTCATGTACAGAAAAACTGTAGTGAATCGGCATATATGACGGTAATGGATATTTTAAGAAGATCTCATGTCTTAGAAAGATTTTGTAGCCAAGATGAAATGGAAATCTTAGAAAATAGATACACAGATTTCTGCGCTGTATAAATACGAAAAAAAAAATTTCTTTGAAGATTATCTAAGAAAATGAAATTGGTATCTCTTAAGTGTAAAGTTCTTAAAAATTTATAATAAAAAGAATAAACATAAAGAGTGCTCTTTCTTCGTATTTTAAAAATCTTTGCTAACGTTGAAGAAACAAAAAATAAATACTAATTATGAACATTTATTTACTTAAAAGAAAACGAAAATGGTATTGAAGTATAATAGACCACTACCCAAAATATCTGAACTGAAAAACATCAAATTTATTGCCAGTTTTATTACTAGAAAAAATTCCAGGTGTTGACAACCAGTAATTTGAACCTCGTGATTTCACTAGGCAATTGTCATATTTAAATAATAATCCAACATATTTATTTAACTCACTTTCACCTAAAACCTATTTACTTATACCGTGCCTCCACATTAAATTTGACTAAGACCTTGCCCATTTCTTTTGACATTTCATTTTCAAATTATTGAATCGAGTAATTTCATTTCCTTTTCTGACTAATAATTCTATTTCAAAATTAATCACCAGTTTGAATTACGGATAGCTAAAACATCGCTAAGAACATGCCAATTTTCTAGGTTTATTTCAAACAACCTCCGAACATTTTCCTCCACGCTTCGAATTTACTGTTCTCTGATATGTTACATTTTCCTATACATCTTACAGCTTTTGCCTCCCTTCAAAAAAGAAATCAGAAAGCTAGTGTATTATATTTCATTTTTAAATTTGGTCTGAAATAAAATAAGATATTATTTTTCAATTGGGTACTTGTAACACGCGAAGAAGACGATCGCAGACACGTAACTTGTAACCTTAGCGCCTGTTGATCGTTTATAAACAAGGTGGCGTGTTAAAGTCTCCTCATAAGTTAAAATGTTAATTAACGTTAAGTTAATTAAATACAGCATTGCGCATTGATTGCTAACTCGTCTACGTCTTTTACTTTACAGAGATATATTACATGTTTATGTATTTTATTTTAACAGTAATTCAATTTTGTTTTGTGTAAGTGGCAATTTCGATGCATAATTAGTTTATTTATGTTCTACATGGCCTCGAGTCTTTTTTTGTGTTAAGTAAAAAATATATAGTGGAAAAGCTTAAATCTTTGTGACGAAATCTTTGGGAAAGAATATAGAACGTGCTACTTAAGAGAATTGTTACTTAACGGGCTTGGCTTACTCGAAATAAAGTGGAAAGTGCAGTTGCTAAAGTAAACAAAGGCCAAGTTTCAACAACCTATAGGGATGATCGAGATATCCACACTACGTTGCTTGCTGGTTTCCCATTATATTGTGGTTATTGCGTAATCGCAGTTTCTTCATCACATCATGAGCCTAATAGTAAAGCAATTTAACTAGTTTCATTTTATTAATTGTATTTCATATTCTTAACTATGTTTCACCAAATCTAGAAAACTCTTTTTCTTCGCTTTATTAACTTATTGCGCTTGACATATATACTTTTCGTAATTAATTTCAGAAAAGGATTCTAAGATAAAAGTGATTACAGAACATCATATTCAAAAATATGCATAAAACATTTTTGAAGGACAATCTTTAATTTTATTACTGACTTGAGTGTCATTCTGAAATGAATGCGATTTTACTATAATGCGTATATATCTAGAAACCACATTTTATAAACTGCTTGACAAACGGATATAAAAAATGTATTTAAAGTTTCAGAATTTAGAGCAACACGTAATGTTGTTCTTGTATGTTTCATGAACTACACTTAAGTTAATTAACTCTGTTAAACGTTTATTTTAACATTTTCAGGTCTGTAAATCACTTATTGCTCTATTATTTTCCTATTATTTTAAGGGACTTGCACATGGAGAAAAAAATTGTAAAATTGTAGTACTGTATAATAAAGACATCCTTAAGCATCCGTATAGCAACGTTACCGTATGAACGGATTAACGGAAATTCTGGTTTTCAAATTTACATTTCTTATTACCACATATTTAGTAAAAATACAAAACTGTAAAGTAAACTTATTCAAATAAGTGGTTTTTGTGCTGTGTTCTAAGGTATTAGGATAAAATTATCAACTTTTATTACATCTAATAAAACTATATTTTATTGTTAATTTTATCATCATTATCAAAGCACTTCAATAAAAATTACCGAGCTTGTGCTTCCATAAAGCCATAAATGTGGTAACTTTTATATATTCCGGTAGTTATGAACATGCTTTTATGTCTCATTGCACTAGTGTTTAAAAATAGTATAACGTTTTGTGCTATTTAATTATTGGAATTGTAAAATAAATAGAAGTTGAAAAAGATGCAATATCGCACATAATAAATTGTAGTATATAATCAAATTTCAAACTATTAAAATAACTAAATAGAATTAGAACATCTATTTAAATTCACTTTATTTTCAGTGATACAAAATATAAGAAAGTAATCAATATTTTGACTTTTTCTGAGAAATAGAATTCTTATCATCTACTTGTAATGCCCTTCTAGAAAAATTAGAATTCTAGATTCTAAAATGTTACAAATTGCTTCAAAGAATCTAATGTTAAAATGTTCTTATTCTTTGAAGAAAGTATTTTCTTTTTTTCTTCTTATTCAATTTTATAGATGTGGAGATTTTAATAGTTACATTTGAAAGAGCCTTTTTCAAACGGGACATCAAAAAAAGCGTACTTTGTTCGAAATCGGTTCTGAAATGTTCCAATCTCATTCTTTGATTCTCATCTTTTGTTTGTTCCATTTTTCTAAACTTGAGATTGATCTGAATAATTTGGAATGATATACACTTTAAAAATATTCTTTGCTCTATCATAACTTGTTCTTTGCTCTGTCATAATTTGTTTGCTCTATCATAAATTGCAAAAAAAAAAATTAATATATAGATATTTAATTAAAACAATTGGATATTTATTTGAAAGATATTTAACTAAAATGAACAAGGGAATGAATTTTTAATTTATGTTCAAAATCAGTTTTTTTAGGTTCAAATTTATTTACTTTTGAAATAATTTAATTTAAAACTTAATTTATTGTTTCATTACATGTTAAATATTTACTCAAAATAGCTTTTATAGATTAGTAAGAACAGAAACAAGGAAGATTTAAAAAAAAACCAAAATTTTGCATTTCATTTTCATGATATTGTGTAAAATCAGAAAAAAAAGATATCAGTTATTACCCTGAATCATGTATAATTGTAACCATATGTGCAATTATGTAAAATACATGAAATTTATATAAATTAAGCACATAAAATATCTGTATATTGAGCAAAAAGAAAAAAAGAACAGTCAATAGGTTTGATCAAAATATCGGAGTTTGCACGTACTAAGGCTCAATCTTAATGAATGGAAGCCGTAACTGATTATCTTTTATTTTTAAATATTTATTAGTTTCTGAATCACCCAGTTTTTGAAGAAAATAGATCCAAAATTCAAAATCTAAATAGAAAATCTAAATTTTGCATTTTGCCATTTAAAATTAAATTCTTCAAAATGAAGTATAAACTTTTATACCTTATAATTCAAAGGTATTTCTACTGTTATTAAACAAAATATTAAAAGTTATTTTTTAGGTGGAACTATTTTTGGATAAAAAAAAAGCGTATGATTATGTGTGAAAGTTATAGACTAGTTTAAAAAGTTCTCGAGACATGGCGAAATAAGCAAAAAGTAAAATCAACAATAAGGGGCCTAAGCTTTTAACTGCTCTTGTGACCAAACTATTGGGATCATGCTTCTCCGATCATGATTGCACCAAAGTTTTATGGCCAGAAATCTAAATCCGCCGAAAAAGGGACATGCTTAGTCAGATAGTACGTTTTTATGTCTAATTTCCTGATTGCTCTAACTAATTAGTACAGTTAAGTTTAAGCCCTCAAAGTATTAAGATTGAATTGCATGCATTATTGTGAGATACGTACGTGCATTACGTTATTACGTAAAAAGTAGGTACATTACGTACATTGCATAAATTACGTACGATTGAGTACGCGAAATTCTGCTTAATAAATGAAAAATTACACAAGATGATTATTTTTGTTCACTGAATACAATGCACAATTCTCTACACATAGAAAGAAAATAAATTGTTTTTTAAATGGAAGTTTAAGTATGAAAAGAACTTTAATTTGGTTATTAATTGAATTAGATAAATAAAGTTAAAAATTATTGATCAAGCATGGAATAACCATAAGTAACCATACCATGCAGCATTCTAATAAAATTCACATTGAACATAATATTTCAATGTACTTACAAATAAAAGTCTAGATTTTAGAATTGTTATAAACTACAGTTCATAAAAGTAGTAAAATTTTCAATTTCTGGGACGTTTTTATTGGCATTTAAAAATATGTATTATTAAAAATTTACATATGTATTATTAAATTTTTGAGATTCACACCATTAGAAATTTCTCTCGAAAAAATGCTTAAATAAGAGTTTATTTAATTGGCATTTTACTATCTTCAAACAAAACAGTGAAATAACTATAAATAAGATGTTATTTTAATTGCTAACTATGAGAAAAACCATTTATCAACTGTTTTCACCTAATATGGTTAAACAACCAGAATTTTATAGCCCCATCCAAGCTCACCTAAGGAAAACATTTATATCCTTGCATCTGGGAACATATTATAGACGAGAGGGATAATCTGTTATTCTTATCACTGATAGAACGGGGTTCGAGTCCTATTGCTGACATCACACCATTTCCTCCATTTCCTTCAACAAATGAAGAGTTTTCAGTGTCCTGCTCTGCCCAATTTGAGACTGTGGATAATTAGAATACGATACTGCCGTGACGATGACGACTAGACGATGATGGCTATACGATGACGACTATACGATGACGGCATCGTGAAGTGGCTTAACACAAAAAAGTCCAGTATTCCCATACCAGTTGTAAACAGATTGACAACCCTGATCTTAAAAAAAGTTCAGAAACGACCATATAATTTAATAAACCACATTCAATGGTTCATTTGATAAAAACACAACTCAACTACAACCTAACTCTAATACCCATTACCTAACGAAAAGCAATGCTCCAATATCCTGTTGAATTTCTTTTTTTACGGTTTTCAA